GCCAACTGCAGCTGTCATTTGGTAGCTGTCCCAACTTGTGAAGACTGAAGTAAAAAAGCCATTAAATCATTCAGCTTTGCCTTCATCATCTGTAAACAGATTGTCTTCTGCATTCTGTAAGGGACCTACACTTTCTATGGTTTTCCTCATACTCCTGACACACTCATAAAAGGCATAAAAACGAATTGTATGTCTCCACGCCAGTTGCATCTGAAATTGTGCCTTGGCCACCTTAATTTTCTCCCTGAATGTCTGTGAGATATCCTTATACTCTTCTCTAGTATTTTCCATCTTTTATGGATCCATTTTTGAGTTTCAACTCATTGAGATTGCTTCTGGCCTCCTGTTGCACTTCCCATTCTTCTATCACATTGGGAAAGCTTGCTCCCATGGCCTTAAAAGGGCCTCCCTAAAAAGGTACAATCATCGCTTCTGGACTTCTTTTCCCCCCTCAGACTTGTGTCCCAGGAGATCCTGTCCTGAGACTTCTACTTGACCAATAGATGCCCTGGTCAATGAATATAAATATACTTGATCACCCTCATCTAAAAGAAAGGAATTCCTAATTAATCCTTTTGCTCCTATTAGTAGATTCAGATTACAGAAATGCCATGGAGTTACTGCATATTTTATGTTTTTTCAGAAGGAAGAATAAGTAGATTTTATTGTCTATTTTAATTTCTTTCTGGTTTGGAATGCCTTTGTTCTACTAAATACATTTCTAAGTCAGATTATGTATAACAGATACTGTACAACAGAAGAAGGATGTTTTCAAATCAGTTTTGCAATGCCCATCTTGGAATTCACTCTCTGAATGGAAACATTACAGGCGTGCCCACTGTTATTGTCAAAGTGGGTTGTAAAGGTTTAATATATAGTAGAACCAGGATTGTGCACATCTGGATGGCACACAAACCTCTTAATACACAGCAGGTTGCCAGAGATGAGGCCACTCACCCATCTATTGTCATTTTTACTCCCAAAAGGTCACTGGACACTCAGCTGGAGCTCATCAGCAATTTCAAAAAGCTAATCAGACAAGTGGTACTCTTTGAAGTAAAAGCCATAGCAAATAGAGGGAGCACCTCAGCAGTTCTGCAGAGCTGTTTTATGTAGCTGTGTATACCTCCAAATCCTTTGCAACTGCTTCTCTCTGTATAGAGAAGCATCTAACCTGTGACATATCTAAATCAGCAGAACCCAGATCTTCTGCAAATGTGCCTTGCTCACTAATTAAAAATAAGGGGGGGGCAATTAATATCCTGGTGCAACATATTGGAAATCAGAGAAAAGAAAACAGGAGGAGATGAAGATGGAAGAAGAGCACCTGACTTAAGAAACAGAAGATGGGAGATAATGGGAATAGAAAACTTACTGCTGGTGGATCTGAATTTAAGAATACCTGCAATTTTATCTATCAGTTCATTAAATGGATGAGCACATAACTGGTAAGCTGTAGGTTGTTCTCTACCTGAGAAAATGATTCTTTTATAAATGTTAGTATGTTAAAGGTGTCTGTTATCTGCAAAGCAACTTACAGGCTCATTACTTGATTGCCAAAAGCAAACTGGTTCTCCTGCCACCTAGTGGCTGGAAGCTATAATAGCATCTCCTTGATGTTGTTAAATACTCCATGGTATATACTACTTACCTTACTAAATAGTAATCATGTTATGTGTGTACCTTTGGATTTTACCTTCCTCATTCTTGGCCCTATATCACTCTATTAGATCATGCTCTCTCTCGGTCCATTATGGGAGGAGTTGTAAAGCATAACCTAATGGCACTAATGGGATATTAATGCTATTATCACCCAGCTGACAATCTGACACATTACATCTTGACTCACTGCACTTAATATGAAAAATTATCACTATTATAAGAGTAAATTAAGTGGTCAGAAGCATAAGGGGCTATAATATTTTATTTACATGTGCCTTTAAAAAAAAAATGGGTGTCTGTTCTTCAGGACTTCACATCATATTTATGCATAAGCTGTTAGGCCTCTCCCTAGACATCTTATTGCTCAGCTCACTAAGATGAACATGGCACAACTGCATCCAGGGATATAATAAATTATCTTTTGAAGCTATCCTTAAAATACTAATAGCACTTTCTGGAGAAGTGACAGATGACATTTTACATGTTATAGGATTCTGTCATAATCTCTTTTGATCATTCATATAAACACTACTACTAAGCAGAGCTGCTGTATAAGAAGCTATTCCCTCAAGCTTCTTTATGATCTCCTGAAATCTCTTCATCTTCTTTCCAGATACTTAGTCTCCATGGCCTGCTGAACTTCCTCTGGACTTTTTTCCCCTAGAGGTCAGTATGTAGAGTATAAGAGGAATCATTCCTCTTGACAAAACATGGTTCCCTTCATTTGCAACTGAGCCTTCTGTAGAGCTATTTGATGCTCTATTGAGGTATATTATGTGTTCTTTTGTCCAGTACAATAGCCTGCACTTCTATACAAAAGGCACATAGGCAAGAAAGCCTGGCACAGAATTGCAATACAAGTATCAGTTATATCATAGCATACACAGCTACACATGCCACCCCAACAGCATCTGGGTCTCCTCTAATATGCTTAAATTTTGCCTTTCCACTATGGACTTTTGCTTTGGTGCGTGCAAGTGTTTCCTGGTCATCACATTAAGATCTACCCCAGTGGTTCTCACCCCTCATTACAGATGAGGCATCCTTCAGAAAATGCCAGGTCTTAACAGGTCAGATTTTTTTTTTTTTTTTTTTTTT